GGGTTATGTCCCATCAAAGTAGGTTCTGGTGTCTGGGTGATCTCGCTTCTTGGTCTGATCTCTTGTGGAGCCGAAGGGAAACCCCCATTGAGTAAGCTCGTAACAGGGTGACGCTGGGAAACAGTTTCGTACTGTTAGTGGGTGATCTCTATGTCGCCATATAGGACTGAAAGGGTCATCGCCCATGAGTAAGCTCTCGTGTCGGAGTGATCCTGGGATTTCAGTTCCGATCCTTTTGCCTCTGGCAAACACCAATTTATACTGGAAGCATCGTGGGGCTGGTGGAGCCACTGTAATGTTGAAGTAAATGTACTTATGTTTGGTTTGGAACTGAGAATACTCATTCCCTTATTACCATCAGAGTGCATTAATAAATAGTAATACCCTTCCCTACCTTTTTGGAGGAAGAGTTATAGATAGTTGGAAAGTCTTCCACTGGTCCGGGCGTGTGAGGGGCCCGACCGCTCCCCCATTTTTTTTATTATTACAGTTATTCTGTAATTTACTATTAAATTAATATATTATATTCTAACTTCCTAGTTACATGAATTATGAGTATAATTCATTAATTATTCTTAATCCTTAAATATTTATCAATCATCTTCATTATTTAACTCCTATCATATACCAATTAAAGAACCTTTTGGTTATTACACACACAACGGGTCCTACATTACTAGACGATCACACATTTATTTATCTGGCCAAATGATCAAGTGTTCTACTATAAGATCTGTTCAATATTATGTGTTTATTGTAAGGGTTTATATGATTCATAGGATGTTTGGGGTGTATAAGGCAATATAGGTATGGGGTTATATTGAGGGTGTTAGGCCATTCTTTAGGGTAGGTTTTCACTAGATTTTCATGGGTTTTCATTAGGTAAAGCCTTCGTAGGCTTTTCTTAGGCTTTGTAGGTTTTCCATGTGTAGCTTAGTTTAGAGGGTAGTTATTATATGAAGGGGTACACAGGGGCGGAAAGGGGGGGACCAGCACAAGCAGTAGCATGGACATAACAGAGTATACTGTTTCGCCCATGATACCCCCCTTGCATTTGCCATTGCCATTCTTGAGGGCTCAGGTGTTATTCCTCTGTACCTTGTAAATTCACTGCCATATCCCAACCTTTAAACTGAAACAGCCATGCAAACTAGCTTCTTCACGGTAGAAACACAAATCCGACAGAGGTACCCAAGCAAACGACTTTTGTACAAAGTCTCCCTCTACTAAATATCCAGTAATTTCACTATTATATTGTCATTTTACCAATCATCTGTAACTCAGTATACAAATATACTGTTTGGTGGCTGAAATAAGTAAGATATTAAGATCGTGTCCACAAAAAAATCTTTAATTATGGAAAAACCTAGTTATTTGATTTTCGAGCTAAACTATTGAAACGATTTTGATTCAATTTCTTTAGAACCAATCTGTTATCCTTTCAGATAGAAAAAAAGCAAAATTTTCCAAATAGATTTTTAACTGAAGGAGTTATGAGGCAACGAACATTAAGCAATAAACGAATTGAGCATCTCTACCTTTTTAAAGTTGATTATAAATTCCAAGTTTAAATTTAGAAATACTGATTGAAAAGGTAAAAATAAAAAAAAAATAAAAGGTCGATTTCTTATATAATTTAATTAAAAAAAAAGACATCGGGAAATTATTTCTATTCCACGAAAAGATTCAATTACACGCTACGCAAACGACATCTGCAGTACAACTGGTGTCTAAATTTATTTACACTTCAATTTATATATAGGATTTATTTCAGTGACTAGAGAACAATCACTTCGCCGTTTCTATATAAAAAGACATATCTCAGTCTCTCTAATGCAAAATGTGACGGATTTTGTGTCCTAATTATAAAGAATAAAGGCCGTTTTCCTTGAATAAGTCAGAAGCGTAAACTTGTTTAGGCATAGAATTGTTTACCTCTTTCTTGAGTCCTCTGAATGGGTTAGGATTACAAGAGTATGACCTTTCTCTAGAAAGTCTTTTCAAAGAAAAAATAGGTCATTATTCTTAGTGGTTATTGAGTATTTTGGATCTGTACATCTAAGGTAGGTATATAATTCAATAAAATAGATCTTAAACGCTTAGTAACCCAGATTATTTATTATACTTATTCTTTTTTTCATGTCTTTGGAAGATATAAAGAAATTATTCATATATTACAGACATATTCATAATTACACTATCTTTATCTCTCTTATCTCTCTTAGCTTAATCTAATATAACCAAGATTTGCAAACATTTTTTACTTGATTACTTGAATTTCTTTCTTTTATATAATTTATATAATACCAGTTTGTACTTTTTTTCATCCGTATGAATAAGATATGTTCACCGATTGGGAAAAGAATAGCCTATATTCTTCTCCATCTCATATTGTATGTTTTTTTATGCAACTTAGAATGGCAAACAAGCTGACGGCCCACCTGATGGAAAGTGGTAACCGTCGCCTATAGACATTAGAAGTAACATGGACATAACAGAGTATACTGTTTCGCCCATGATACCCCCCATGCGTTGCCGTTCCTGAGGACTCAGGTGTTATTCCTCTGTACCCTGTAAATTTACGCCATATCCCACCCTTCAAACCGAAACACAGTCATGCAAACACAACTGCTTCACGGTAGAAACACGAATGCGACAGAGGTACCCAAGCAATCGACTTTTGTAGAAATTCTTCCTCTGGTGATATGTGTGTACCAAATTCCATAGTGATTGGTTAAGCCGTTAAGCAGTAAAGAGGTAACATACAATTAAAAATACTTCCACATTTATAGTATTAATATGGATTTAATGTCTTCATTTTAAAATTATTTCTATTTTTTTTTGTTTCTATTCTTATCACTATTGATTAAGTTATCTATCCTATTTAAGAGCTGCGCTCTTGTCGGCGGAGCTCTTGCCACTCACTACGATTTTCAACGAGTCTCTTCACCTATTAATACGACACGACATCAACTCCTTCCTTAATCTGCTTGATGGTAACTATGCCTCAGTCTCCCTCTTCCCCTCCTTCCTTGTATTTATTAAGTTAATCAATAAATATTTATAAGAAACATTTATCAATAAACAATAGGTATAAGTCCACATATTTCGTCATAATTAGACATGCAAAATAAAAAAAAAACTAAATTTGCTGTATATAACTCCTAAACTAGATTATAATGATATCTAATATGCTTATTTTAGATTAGTCTCAATTTAAATTAAATAACTATACACAAAACGATGAATTAGGAAATAAATCAAATAATAAATAAACAAATATAAAAGATTTTTACATTATAATACATCTATAATACGTGTATATTCGAGTTGGATTAGGCATTTCTATTCTACTCCATAACATAATCTAATTATAAAATTCTCCGTTCAATTACCCTCTTACTTAATTTTAATTGCCTTCTACTGCAATGGCTCCTAATTAGCGGTACGCGTACCCCCAAGGGTATCTGAGATTGTTTGAAGGGGTACGCGCGTGGCTATATAAGACAAACAAAGCATTATCTTCACCGTTTACAAAGGTAATCAAAGATGGTGGCTGAATTTGGCTGAGGAAATGTTTAAAATAAAAATATTTATATTTATAATCGTATTCAAGTTACATTTACTATTAACTTATACATTTTAGCACTGTATTTTTTTGTCAGGTAAATTAGTATGGTCTTTCCGTTTAGTCCCGGTATGGAATAGGCCAACCCTTTCCTTTCCCGTGGGTGTTGTAAGAGAGGGCGAGGGATGGGCAGCAGCGTATCTCTTAAAATATCTCCAAAGTCTAACTGCGGTTGCTAATTCTTCTGCCAAGCGTGGTAACTACTAGCAAAACCCTCCTTGGGGGAGGCTTACGTTCAACATTGGACAGTTCAAAGCTGATATGATGATGAAGACCTAAATGATTGCATTAATTCTTATCTCTTATTTTTACTGTTATTTTAACATTTTAAAGGCAAAAGTGCTAATTTGTCTTTGTATCACATAAAAACAGTAATAATTCCAAAAGTTTTTTTTAGTTAAATGAAACTGAAATTTAAATCATTAATTCCCCTTTCAGAGATAAATTAGAAGACTATATTTTTTTAAATATTTCGTCATTCATCGACCTATGTTTTGAAAATTCAGAAAAATATTCAGTATCATTAGTATAATATTTTAGATAAACTGCTAATTGTTTTGCGGCTTCTATGTTTTCTGTATTAATCTGTATAGTATATTACATAATATATACTTCAGAAAAATATCTTATTTCTACAAAAGTTGTCTATATTCTTATCCGCTATCAATGCGGTAAGGATTAACAACAGAAAAGAGGCCATTCCTCTTCATCTCCATGATATCGTAAGAGACGATTAGCGGAACAAAACCATAATACGCCTGTATTGAACTATAATAAATTGGAGATCAAATACCAATCAATAAAATATTTACTACATAATGTAACATGTCTTAAAAAGCAAATAAGAAAGATAAGTACTAAAAACAGAGATAATAGAATAAATAAAACACATCAAAATAATTTGCATTGATGTTAATGCAATAAAGACGAATAAACTCTAAATACAGTCATATCCAATTGAAGAACTCTTAATAAACAGATAATGGTTAATATATAAATTATCTGTATTGTAAAAAAATATAAATTATAAACTTTCACACGCGACAGCATGGCGTGACCGGGATATGTTTACAGAACAGGACAAAAGTAGCCTCTTCTCTCTCTATTCTAGTATACTTCTCTATTCTATATAGCACGTATATACCAAATTTCATTGTGATTAATTAAGTAATTACGGTAACAAAAAAAAAACTCACTTTTACATTTATAATATTAATAAATATTTATCCATAATCCAAATTACATCTTAACAGTTGATTGATAGAAAATTCCAATAATTCTGAGAATACCAAGTATGCTTTCTGATCGTCAACCTTGTTAAAACCTTGAATAAAGAAATGATGAAGTCAGTAAAAAATATTTATTGTTTCAGATTCAAACCACCGTCATTTGAAGGAGAGGAGTCTGATGACACGATACTCGATGCAGATACTGGCTCAACAGTCATATTCGACTGTAAAGTAACGTCGCTAAGAGATAAAATGGTAATAAAAACTATAGACACTAAACTCAAAGAAAATTTTAAAATAATATAAGAATCTACGCAGTAAAATAACAACGACTTCATTCATAATAAAACTGATGGTATTAACAAGAAATCAAACTGCATCATATGCGAAATTTATTATTAAAATTAATAAAATAAAAGTACACAAAAAAAGAAATGCAAAGATGTTGTTTAAGAATTTAATCCTTTTTGAAATCGTTTAAGGCATAGAAATTTTAATTGTTCCAAATATTGATAACAGATGCTTAGAAAACTATAATAATACATTTGATAAATTCTCCTACACAGTGTTACATAAGACATATTTTTTTAAAATTGATAATATAATTTATTTTTTATTCTTTATTGCGCAATAAAACTTTGTACAAGGACGAGCTTAATGTCATATATTGTTAAATATATTTTTACTGCCTATAATAAATATAATTGTTTCTTGTTACAGGTTTCATGGCTTAGAGTGTCTGATGAGGAAAATTTAGAATTACTTACTTTAGATCTAGATACACACACTGCGGATTATAGGTATGAAAAAGTTGAATTAATAATAGTATTTGAAGATCATAGAAGCTCTCCTATAAACAGCCTATACTGTACATAGACATTGCAAGAAATAGCCTCAAATATATTTAAGATACATACAAGGAATTAATAGATGCAGGAAAGACTGAACCGTTCCATATGGTAGTTTATGTTCAATAGTGGATAACAAATACTGAAATAAGGAAATTGTGGATAATATTGATTAAAATCGAGCTTAGGATCTTATTACCTACAATATATTAGTAAAGGATAATTTATTTACTAAGATCGAACAATACGAGTATAAGGCTCGAGTTGATTACATTGTTAATTTACCTCAAAAAGTGTTCGATTTTAATGTCAATGATGTTTTTGTATGGGAAGTTACACCATACTTTATGCAATTCTGAAGTGACTTTGATAAATATTTTACGTAATGTACTTTATATGTTCTTGTGTCAATCCCATATTAATTTTGTCAATTTCTAAAACAAAATCCTAAATTATATTTAGCATATTTGAAGACGTGATAAAACTAAGTTTATTTAAATTATATATATTTGATTTTAATAAATGTACTCCATATTGTAAATGTACATTAACAAATAAAATGTTCATGTCCATCAGAATCGTATCAACGATAAGTCATACCTTCTGAGTTACATTTTTTTTTTTTTTTATACAACTTAGAATGGCAAACAAACTGACGGCCCACCTGATGGAAAGTGGTAACCGTCGCCTATAGACATGAGCAGTAGCATGGACATAACAGAGTATACTGTTTCACCCATGATACCCCCCATGCGTTGCCATTCCTGAGGACTCAGGTGTTATTCCTCTGTACCCAGTAAATTCACGCCATATCCCACCCTTCAAACCGAAACACAGCCATGCAAACACAGCTGCTTCACGGTTACATCACTTAGCCCATACTCTTATTGTTTATTAGTTACTTTACTTACTAATATTCTATATTCACAGATACAGAATGGATGTAGCAGGTGACAATTGGAGATTATCATTATCAGATGCCAAAGTTCAGGACTCTGGTATATACTGCTGCCATGTATCTACACATCCGCCTATGATAAGACGTTTTAAATTAATTGTACATCGTAAGTACATAAAACTATATCACAAAATTCATATAAATGTTAAACTATATCAAAACATATTAGTATGTATATAAAACTTTATATTTAAGTCAATAATGATCTTAGTTTATCTATACGAAGTGTTTTGTCTTTGTCTTTTATGATTGCAATACAAAATAGCCTTCTTAACTGTAATAAAATATCAAAATATTAATAAAATTATCTTCATTTTGGTGACACTAGATAGTAGCATAGGAATTGCATAGTAACTTGTTTCATACTACTTGTATTTCCCGTACAATATTAAATTTTCTTAACCGCATTCCACTATTAGTACATTATTTCCGGATGGCGTCCCAAACGTATCTCGCTTAAAGAGTCTTCAAGATTCCGCTTCATAGAACGATTTCCCCGAAACAATCTTCAGCGAAGGCATTCATAATATCTGTATAACGTATGTTCACAGCGCCGGAAATAAGAATGAGCAAAGAGGCTTTCTTAGAGAGCGGTGAAACCTTGTCGTTGAAGTGTTCAATACTCCATTTGCATCCTGGAGACATCGTGCCTGAAATGCATTGGTATAGAGGAAACAGTACCGTGTCACTCGACGAAGTCAGAGGCGGTGTACTAGTGGAGACAGATCATCTGACACTTACGAGTCATTTGCAGGTAAACATAAATTATATATTTATAATTAAAAATACTTTATGATCTTTTTATGGCGTCCCGGCATAGTATAGACTACCTCTTCGTTTCTCGTAGGTACCGTAAGGGGTAACTAGGGAAACTAAATGATCAAGAGATGAGCTGCAGAGTTCCTCTTAAAATATCACCAAAGCTTAACTACGGTTGCCAATTCGCCTGCCAAACGTGGCAACTTTTAGCAAAATTCCCTAATAGTGGGAAGCTTACAACGTTCAACAGTAGACAACGGTTGATATGGATAAAAATTTAAATGTAAACGACGTTATCACTATCAAATTTAAATATAATATAAAGAAACCCAGACATAATAAATAGCATTAAAAATCAATGAAATCAAACTGATACGAGCATGTAAGAAAAATCTCATTATTCTTAAGTTTAAAGAGAAAAGATTTTATGTTTCGTGCTTCGAAAAATCAAGCGTTTTGAAGTATCTTTGTGTTGACCCAAATAGCAATTAAACAGTCCCATTTGGCAAACCTAGAGCCCCGAAGACAAAATCGCTGCCAAATAGACTTACATTAGAAAACTGTTTAGAAGCAATTAAGAAGAAATAAATTCACGTTGCTACACATATACAGAAAGAAATCAAATTTATTAGCATATGTTTAGAGTATTCAGTTGAGTGTTATTAAATATTTTTTTGCCGAAACGTGACTCGAAATATCTCGTATCTCCCATACTGACATGGCGTTTCCAGTTGTCAAATTAATATGGGAGCTCTAAATTTTTTTTCACCATCATCATCAACCTACTGCAATCGTTTTCTGAACATAGGTCCCTCCCAAAGTGCGTCACTTTGTACGGCCCTGTGCTTTACGCATCCAAACATTTTTTTGTCTTCTTTTTTTTTTGAAAAAAAATTCTGTTTAACTAGTTTAATACTCATTTAAAAAGATTATAATGATTTCAGAATTATCCTCAAGTTTAAAAGAACCAGAAATTTTTAAATAAGCCATAATATCATAAAAAATCCAGTATAGTATATAACAATTTGGCGAATCAATTCATGAGCTTTTTGTACCGAATTAAAAATAAATCATAAAAATATACTTAGAAATCTCGGAGAAAACGTAGCAAACAAATAAATTCTCGCGCGTCAAATGCATATTGCCTCTTTGAAGTTGCTTTTAGAAAAATAATTATTTATGTATTATGATACCATTGATAATATTGTGTGATGGTGCCGACATCTTTTATTAAGAATTTCTCTTCTAGATGTAGCTTATCGATCGGTCCGCTTTTCGAAAGTACTTCATGTAAAATATGCATTTTGTTCCCGATTTCATCACCCGAGGCACGTTCTCTTGGACCCCGATGATCCAACCATATTAGCAAATACTTTTTTCCCTTTCCCCCTTTCGCGGAACTTCGTCACACATGCGTGCACACTCGCAAAATTTACATCGTCCCTGCCGGAGGGGACGAAGACACCTATCACACCGTTCATGCATAATCAGGTACGCATCTGAGCACAACTCGCCTACACTTCTCCCCTCAATACCCAACCGACTTTTAGTACCTCGACGGAGTACGGATTGTAGCGACCTAAGCCGAGGTCCGAGCCACTCTGGCGCTCTTGGGCTTGTACAATCATCGGTAAGAGTCGGTATTACATCGCTTCCTTCTCGACGGCTTGGAGTACCTTCTGAATTCGCCTCTGTACGCGCCCGGTGTAGCTGTAAAACAAGTACTGCTCGAAAAAAAATGAATTTTGACAATTCAAAGGTTTAGAGCTGAAATTCTATCTTGAAAATCCCGGATCGCTGTAAAACCTTATCCAACGCTTGCACTGTTACCATTAATATTCATTAAAAAACAATGGTACTAAAAAGTGGCTATAGGATAAAAGAACTTTAAATTTCGAAGACAAAGACACTATAAAAATAAAACTTTCTATCTCTCGGCCGCAGTGCCTTAATTAGACCTACTTAATGACGTAATTAAGACATTAATATAACGAATGTTTGCTGTTCAGAAGCTAACGCAATTACATGAACCCTTACAGCCGGGGTAGATAACAAAGCGTATGATATTTACTGTATGATGGCCACGGGTTAACTGCCTTTGAGGCGTGTTCACAATCTTAGCGACTTATTTAATGTCTTATTGTGTCGTTACAGTCACATTCTCGATTGCTTCTCGTGCATTATTCTCCCTTAATATTTCGCTAATTATCGCTTTTTCTTTATTAGGTTTGTATTAAACCATTAAATACATAACATTCATCATATCAGCCATTATCTGTCCACTGCTGAATATAAGCCTCCACATATTAGACGATTTTGCCAGTAATTTTCACACTTAGTAGACGGTTTTTTTTTGATGGGTGAAAATGGAATGTTAACTCTGCCTGCGCTGACGGTATATGCTGGCAGAACACCAGTGAAGGGTTATAGATGAGAATGAAAACAGGCCAGTTAGCTCATCATGATGAATTCATCAGGAATTAACCATGATAGTTTCCAGGGGGAACCGCGAGGTCGACCTGGTTAGGTATATTGCTAGCAATGGGATTCTCAGTCTCCATCATTAACAATCCCTTTTCCCCCTGGCAGATGCGTTGGCAACCATAGTTAGGCTCTGATGATGTAAGATTGTCCATCCTTTCCTTTCCCGTGGGTGTCGTAAGAGGTGACTAAGGAAGGGAATTTATTGGTTGAAGGATGAGCAGCAGCGTCTCTCTTAAAAACGTCACCAAAGATTAATTTCGGCTGCTAATCCACCTGCTAAGTGTGGCGACTGTTGAAAAATAAAACAAACATAGTTAGGCTCTGATGATGTAGGATTGTCCATCCTTTTCTTTCCCGTGGGAGTCGTAAGAGGGGACTATGGAAGGGAATTTATTGGTTGAAGGGTGGACAGCAGCATCTCTCTTAAAAACGTCACCAAAGCTTAATTTCGACTACTAATCCGCCTGCTAAGTGTGGCGACTGTTGAAAAAAAAAACAATATTAAAGGTCTAGTCTGCCGAATAGCAGTCTTATCTTATAGACCCTAAAATTAGTGAATCCGAATTTGGCCGACGCTAAAATCTTCTAACAATAGCAATTTGCGATCAATACGTCTACGATGGAAAACAGTGCTAAACTTAAAGTAAAAAGAGTCACGAGGCGAGCAGTTAGGCTCGCTCGCTAGCATATTACGAGTAGATTCTAACAATCCTTTGTGACACAAAAAGCCAGAACAGTAATTGATCATGAAATAAATCTGGCTACCCATCAGGGATAAAAATCGTGTGCATACAAAATATTTTATTAAAACCTTATATATTGGAAGTATGCCGTGTGGTCTCGGCGTAGAATAAATGATCTCTGACTTTCCGGTAGGTGTCGTTAAAGGAGAAATGATGACATTATTGGAAATGCTTAGAAAAAGCATAATACCTAAATTGATATATTGGCCCTGATGTGATAGTTTATTATGATTCAGAATAATAAATACCAGTAAAGACAAAAATTGTCTCCTTTACGTTTAATTTATATAAATAAATAAATATTCTATGTTTATGACATAAATAGTCTAGTTTCTATTTACTTTTATTTAATTATAATATTGATCTTTATTTTTACATTATTCCTAGAGATAGATTAAAGATTTAGTTAAATGCATCGTTGCATTTGTATGGCTTCATGAAAAGTAACAATTGTCCAGGGACAATGACCTAAAATACAAAATATACAAAATAGGTTTTGAGTTGTAATATAGGTCCCTTGATTTAGTTCATATAATTCATTCACAAAAAAATAATTCTAAATTAGAGAGACTAAAGTTTCCAGGGGGAACCGCGATGAGGTCGACCTGGTTAGGTATATTGCTAGCAATGGGATTCTTAGTCTCCATTACTATCCCTTTTCCCCCGGGTTATAGGTATTAAAGTGTATTAAACTAGAGGTATATGTGAAAATAGAAGCCATTGAAACTCAAATATTTCTATCTATCTCAAATAACATAGATGAAATACATATATTGGATAAAAAGTCAATATCAATAAATATAAAACACGATACAAAAGGCGAACTTAATACTAGTAGCATTCTCTATCAGTCAATCTTTGAGATGAACAGGGAATCACGAACGCGTTATTTCATAATTGAGATAGATAAAGAAAATAACTAATAATATATACCTATACAAAATAAATAACACATACATAAATATAAATTATATTTTGAGCAGGAAGTTGTTACATCTTAATATTTTACTATATAAAAACATATGAGGTAAAATTCACTCCAACATATCGACGAAGTATCACTATTAGAAGAGAGTATTAATATAATATCCTGACACAAGAAATTGTGTGCAAAGTATACCTACATAATATTAACCATCTGATAGCTGCGAGTTAATCACCCACGAGGTATGGTGCCAATGTTAGCGAGAATAATAGAAATTATATAATTTGAACATGATTAATCAATAATGTCAGTACACGAACAAAGAGCTATATGTGTAAGATGCTGAGTTTGTTTTTTTTATAAAAAAGTCGCTTACCTAATGAAAATTAATAATTATATACTATAGATGTGAACAGCATTATGGATTTTATAAAAACTCTGCTCAAGATACCCTTGTGTTGTCATTCCTGAGAACTAAGGTGTTATGCATCTGTATCCTGTAATTTCAATATCATATTTTATGCTACAAACCGAAAAAGCTGCTATTGCTCAACAATGGAAATATGACTGAGACAGAGGCCTCTTCAAGTAACTTGTACAAAGTCTTGCTTTGTTAAATAATATTAGTTCGTATTGCCTTAAGATAATGTAACCCTCTTTTGCCAACCCGTTTGCCAATTGTGGCAACTACTGGCCTAAGTTCAGCAGTGGTCAGTTAACAGCTGATGTGATGATGATGAGCCCTTTTTTAATCTACAAATTCTTTTCTCATATCTTTATATAAAGAGAACAACGAATCTTTTTAGATTGCTACTTTGACCGAAAACTTCATTAGATAATCAT